GGAAGAAGAAAAAAAAGTGGAGCGAGATGGGTGACTCTCCACGAGTCACGAGGCGATACGCGTGAAAGAGGTCGAAGCGACAAAATCCTATTGATCGAGATGAAATCTCATTAAGGGCGCGCCTCGCCAGGTGGTGGAATCGAGGAAGTGGGCCATCGCGAAAAACTAACTGTTGGCCCGTGAAAAACACCTCGAGAAAGGTGAATACCGAGATAGTGGACGAGTGAACGAAAGAGAGAGAGAGAGGAGGGGGTCGAGACACGTTTCCTGGCCGATTAGAAACGGTTTTCTGAGGCAAAGGGCCGGGATTAATATGTGCTTTGGACGAGTGCCGCGAGCTGAAAGTTGCCAGACCGGCGTGAACACCGACGACAGCTGTCGAAAGGAAGACGAGGGGATCGTGGAGCGGTGTTGGTGGTCCTGTTCCGCGGGGATGGGGATGCTGTTGCCCGACGAGACATACGAGGAACGTTCCTCGTCCTCGAGGCGTAGCTCGTGCCCGAACGTTCTCGCGGATATCGACGAGGTCGAGGCGGCCAAGGCTTTGGCCGCGTTCAGAAAGTGCGACGAGTTCCTCAAGAGGCACGGGATCAGGCCCGAGTTCTTCTGCAGGCACAGGGAACGATTGGCGCTCCAGACTTGGCTGTTGCAGAGGTCCAAACTCTCCTCCGGTGAGTGTCTCATCTTTCCTTTCCTCGAACACGAGAATTTCACATCGAAAATTATCACATAAAATGACGCGATCCTTTCGCCAAACGAGATCTCGTTGAGCGCGCGACACTCGTACGGAGTGCTTGCAATGTTTGTATGGTAATCAACTTTAATCAACTTGATACACCTACGTTGTTGAGAAACCTCGTTTTACGGAATCTAGATTTCTAGGTACAGAAACGAACATAAAAATTGATATTCTTTTCGCGTTTCGATATCTGTAATGTATTTCATCAATTCGCAATTAGGAATAAAAGAATAGCTGGTTTTATCGGATCGCATCGCATCGCATAACATGTCATTTTATCAGAATCTAGATTCCATATATCGAAACGAACGTGAAAATTGATATTCCTTTTTATATCTGCATTTTATAAATATCCTGCATATTATCAATTAAGAGTAAAAAGAACAGTTGGTTGTATCGCGAGAGAGGAAAATAAAAAGTTTATCCGGTGGATAAATCGCGTCCCATAACGTTGATCGAGCGCGGTCCCACTTTTATGGGACTTTATGGGATAGGCATCACGATGCACCTGGCCGGCGCGAAGGGTTCGCGTTCCCTGTAATAGATTTACGTAGAAGGAACGAACAATCGCGGATGACAATTTACGGCGAGGGAGGAGAGGTGGATACGGCTCGTTTGAAGTTGCGCCATGCATCGAAAATAGGAGCTGTTCAATTGACCGATCGGGGACCGGTTAAATCGACGTTTCTCGTTACTTTCACCGACGGTTATTTTGTTGTAGCGGTTTTTTCGCGCAATGAAACGCGTCGTTCCGGTAATTGGACACCTCTTTCCAAAAATTTACGCCGACGTGAAAACCTGATTCGCTCGGATTTATACCGGTCTCTTCGACCCCTTCCAACCTTTTTCTTCTCGAACCTTTAAATCTTTATTCGAGAAATCTCTCCTGAAAATATTTCAAGATTTCACGTTGAGACGAGTGTTATTTAACGGATCAAGGACGCGTTCGAGAGGGAAAATTCTCGAAAATTGTTATGGAAATTTTTTTTTAATTTTTCGTCAATACGATCGAGAGTGAAAAATCATCATCGACTATCCTCCGAACGAAGAATAAAATAACAACTCTCGAATTTTAAGAATTTTAAGTCTCAAACGACGCGTTCGAAACATTAAAACGTTTCTTCTTTCATTTCGTCTTTTTTCGATTCAACGTCGAGTCGAAATCGTACAAACGATTCGCGACTGTTTGGATTGACCCGCTTCGCGATTAGACGCGTCACCAGCGATGACAATGATCCGAAATCCAGTTTTCGATCGAACTCGCCCTAATTCGTCGATTTTTGCCAGGACGAGACTGCCAAAAACAAGGCGTCCAATCGATATATATATACATATATGTATATATGTATATACACGCAGAGGTCGACGGCTCGTGCATCCTCTCTTTGATGTTAATTTCGATTTCGAGGGAGGGAGGGTGACGGCGATAATTTCGTTAGCTGGCTGTACTTAACGATCGCGGGCCCGTGAAACGTGGAAATTTCGCAGTCCGCGCCGTGCACCCGCTAGACTACCGGGAGGGCATTAATTTTTGTTTTTAACGAGCTTTACGTATTTATGCAGCGAGCCGCATTAGCGCAATTGATTTAATGCAGGGCATTAATCGAGCCCCCGTTCAACACCGTGTAAATTATGATTGGAAAAGTTCATTTGTCCCCCTTCTGTTATTGTCAACGTGGCAACTATCCTCCCGTCGATTAGATTTTACACCAATTTGCCGCGATTGTTGTTTGCCCTTTGTCTTTTTTTTTTCATTCGATGCGATTAATATAAGAGAGAAAAGTGTTTTTGATTCGAACAATCGGATTTGATTCGAGGTTTGATGGGAAAATTGTTGTGTTTTTTTTTTTCATTGTTAAATGCGATGGAAAAGAAAAAGTAATTTACTCGCAGTAATTTATTTTATCGCAGAATACGATCGCACTTGCTTATCTTTTTGCGGTGATAATTGTGAAACTCGTTGTGCAGAAAGAAAGCGAAAAGAAATTTTGTAAATGAAAGGAAAGCTGAGACAAGACTTTTATCTAGATATATCCCTGTATTTTACTACTTTGCGTCTCAAATTTTATTTAAGTCTGTAGATTTTTCCATCGCGTTCCAAAATTATTCCTATTATTTCGGAACGAGCGTGACCAAGAAACAACAATTCTCATTTGGTCAATACCGATCAAGTTTTTTAAACGCTATCCTCGAGCTACGAACGGTAAGAATGTGTTGTGGAGATAAAGTTTGCGGCGGAGCAAAAATGTAATTAAACCATGAAGAATGCAGGTCACGTTCCTATGGTTTCGCGTTTTTATGCGTAGAATTTAATCCGAGTGGATTACGCCACGAACGCGGTGGATTTCGCGCGGAAACGCATCCATTTCCGGCCTTGAGTGCGCCTTCTTTCACCAATGCGACTTTTTGCCTATATATATATATATATATTTGGATCTTCTAATCCCGTGGAAAGCTTCTTGGACACCGATAATAAAATCGTTTGTCCTAGAAATTTTCACAAAGATTTTTCTCTCTCATCTCGATTTAAACAGCATCAAGAGAGTTTCAATCCTCTTATGTATTTTACGATACGAATTTTTTCTTTCGCATTAGGATGTAGAATAAATTCGTTTGGTAAAATAGAAATTCGGTAGAATAACGAATAAGTTATTATGAGTTTTGTAACGTTAAAAGCATCGCTCACGTGCAGAAAAGAGATTATTTTCCGCGATAGAACAAGAAACAAAGGCGCATATCTTTAAAAAAACGAGAAAAATTATTATCGCGCTTATTTAATAAAAAAATTTGTCCCTCCATCCGATCTTCAATTATTTAACAAAACTCTTTCAAATGGGGTATGATTCAGAAAAAGATAAACGCGAATCCGTATTATGTATTCCACATAATTCCGCGTAATTCTATTCTACGTAAAATCGTCGATGTTTGCGTCCTTACAAGAGCATATAATTTTCCTCGTCCACGATATTATCAATTCGAAGCACAACAACAACAATCGAATCATAACAAGTCGAGGCGTGACGATCGTCGTCGAATGAGTCACATTGCTCGTACGTTGCTCGCGTTTAGACGCGACAAATTATCGGTCTCGACACCTCGATCCATTACACGCCATCCGTGTGTTCGAGCAAGCGTCAGTTTAAGAGGTGCGCTCTTACATCATCGTCCCGGTTAAACGTATCGGAGTGCTAGTTGAACGCGTTACCATTCGCGGTAATCTCGTGTGACGCGTGCCAACGAACGAATACGCGGGGAGGGAAAGTGTGTAGGGCGTGTTGTTTAAAATGGCTCCTTTTCTCGCTGGCTACGTATCGGTGTTAACAACTTGTGCATCATCCGTAGTGACAGTGCACACACGCTAAATTTCCCGTTCTGGCCGCGTATGCACTCGCGTTATCATAAATTATTATCATTTTGTCGCGAATAGATAAATCGAGAATGCGAACCAACGAGATTATTATTAAAACGCGTGCATAAATTGGCGAGGAGAGCCCTTTATCCTGTACCACCTTTCATCTTTGATACCGTTTCGAGGTAAATATTAACAAATTTATATACGGCCGGGGAAGAGTCGCAGTAGGCAAAATTCAGAGGTGGATCGCGTGATTTCATAGCGTTGTCGAGTTGCGGAGTAACTCGCTGTGTGGAACATTTCTTTCTCTATACAAGATTGCGTTGTAATACATATACGTAGTTTCGCGATTTTGAAGCAGATCGATTCCAACAGTGCGAAAGTGGACGCTTATCTTATTAAGCAATTTACAAAGTTCATTAATACACGGTTTCATTAATTTATATATCTTTTTTCGCTCCTCGATTCGAAATCTCGTTGCACCACGTTGAAGTTTGGATCCTGAGATAGATAAGTAAGATAAATAAAGGTCAGATGGATAAGATCTCCTCGGTTTTAATCAGGCTAAACTTTTCCTTTCCAACAGGTCGGTGAAAAACAGAATCGGCCGCCCTTTAATCGAGTAACCATCGAGGGACAACGTTTCAAAAGTTTCTCAACTATCGTCGAGTATTCGAATCATCTTTCGCCCGTGTTCGAAAAATTTCTCCCTTCGAGCGAGACAAACAATCCCAGGATATGGTGAAGTATCCAACCGAAAAATCGGAAAAATCCTTTTCCCGTGGCAAAATAAAATTAGCCGATGGTTAAAATCTCGAGGAATTATTTTCGAGGGATTACTTGGAGTGGATTAATAGTGGTATTCGTATCGCGTTGTAAGTGCACGGCCATGATTCCTCGTTTGTATTGGAAAGAAAATGGAAACGGTCGATTACCCGCGCGGAATACGCAATTACGAGTAAATTCCGCCGGTGATGTCCGCTTGTTTCCCCGAATCAGAATATAAAGGGCGCGTAATTGCGGGTACGGAATTACACCGTGTTTTATAATCAACGCGGGGGCGTGCATCCGGACAATCGGCCAAATTAAGCGTTTACCGGCCTCGAATCGCGTTTTATCATATTAATCGTGGAAACACGCACGTACGCTGACAAAAATCGCTTTTTATCCCTATCCGTATTTTCCGATCTCGATTTACGCTCATCCGTCCACCATAATCACAGCTATTGATCCCTTCCCCCCTCGTAACGGATTTTTTCGCCAATTTTTCTCCAGACACGTCGATAATGATTATATTAATCGATCGTTGTTGTTCGTTTCCAATTCTGGTAGCGAGCTCTATTGGATTCGCTCTGATTAAGAAAAAGAAAGAGGAAGAAAAAGAAAGAGGAAAATTTTCGAATCTTTTCACACCAACGCGTAGCTAGAATCATTGAATCATCGTGCCGTTATCGTGGAATTCCATTATAGAGATTTTTCTTTCACATTCGCTAATGCTGTTAACCGCTTCCATTTCCCGTTAATTTCCCTCTGGCAACGAGATTATATCGAAAATTGGGCATACGTTAATAGATATGATT